AATTTGTTTTAGTATGCGTGTTCTTGTGATCCATTTTCTATCTGAGCATATTTTCAATTATGAAAAAAAGGTCAAAAGATCATACATGTACAAATGGATTTGCATTTAATTTGCACATATACATATAGGTGCATATTCTACGTATATATTTTGTTGACTTGTTTATAATAAAATCCATATTCAAGTGTATTGCCGTGAACATAATTTGATTTAATGAGGAATATCCTATTTTTTGTATATTGATGTACAAAAATATATGGATTTGACCTTAAATGTCTAGTTGAATGACATTTGGGAGCACATCAAAGATCAAAGATAGCAGTAAAAAATTAATTTCCCTTCCGAGCCCCCTGATAAAAGCTTAGAAATGAAAAGATAATTATTAAATTTGATGTCATAGTAATGTTTACCAGGCTCCAAGACCATAAACTCAGAACAGACTTACGTCAAAATTTCAAAGTAATACATGTATATCTTTTGAAATTATTTTCAAAACAAAACAAATATTGTTTAATATACTTTAATTGGAATAGTATACAAACATGTTAATGTTTGACAATGTTTATATTGTTAATAACACGTAATCATTTTAAATCTAAAACTTTTATTTCAGGTAAAGATATAGTAAATGAAAGGTGCCTTTTTATATTTATATGAAGCAGAATTTGTGCAAAATCTTATGCCTGAAAAGAAGGAAACACTTTCTGTGGCCTTCAACTCAATATTTAGATATATCGACGACGTATAGTCAATTAACAATGGTATTTTCCATTCCTATGTCGATACGATATATCCTGGTGAGCTTGTGATAAAAGATACCACAGAGTCTGACCCATCTGTTTCATACTTGGATATTTTACTTGAAAAAGACGTTAACGGTAATCTAAGAACTAAGCTATATGATAAACGTGATGACTTTAATTTTTCTATCGTCAACTTCCCTTACTTCCTTCATCACCTGCATACGGAGCATATATATCTCAGTTGATTCAATACGCAAGAGAGTGCTCTACGTATGAAAAATTTCTAAAACGAAGTAAATTATTGACATGCAAGTTGAGGAAACAAGAAAATCAGCTGTCATCATTTCGTAAGTTCTATGATCGATACAATGACTTATTCAGCAAATAACATTTATCATTGAGTCAAATACTGACTGACGTTTTTCTTACTGCATACTTTTTCATACTAATTGTTAGTCCATGATTTATACACTGAATTGACGACGGATTTTTCCGTTATTTCCCGATCATGAACAAAGAGCACACAGCGGGTGTGACCTGTCAGCAGGGGATGCTCACTCCTCCATGGCACCTGATCCCACCTCTGGTGTTTTGGAGGTCCGTGTTTCCTCTGCTCCTACTTTGAATTGTTTTATTGACTTTTGATCTTGAATACTGTTCGTTATCTCCATATCCTTCTACAGATTTATTCTACTGATTTAAAAAAAAATCCTTTTATGATGCTTTATAACTTCAGCTTGGTCAAATTAGGAGTTCTGGGGCATAATTTATAGGTAAACAAGATGAAAAAAAAAATTTATCTGTCATTACATTTAATACTGTTAGTTATCTCCATATCCTTCTTTCAATAAAAAAAAATTAAGAAAACCAGTCATGAATCAATTTATTGTCTCCAGGCCAGTTTGTGCTTCAAAGACCTTGATAGCAATAACAATTTATCATTTTAAATGCTGGCTGATATTTTTCATACTATTTGTCACATCATTATATACATACTGAATTGTCAAAGGATTTTTCCGTTACCACCCAATCATGACGAGAAGCACACGGCGAATAGGACCGGTTGGCAGGGGAACTTACTCCTCCATGGCACCTGATCCCACCTCTGATGTGTTGGAGGTTCGTGTTTGCTCTTCTCCCATTTTGCATTGTTTAATAGACTTTGAGCTTCAATACTGTTCGTTATCTTCATATATTTCATTCGATTGGAATTTAAACGATTAATTTTTCTATACTTCGATGTAATATAAATGATTGTAACTTGAAGTACTTACCAGCACATAAAGAGGGTAAGATCCGATCATTCAAATCGTTCAGTTTATCAAAGTTTTCTACATTAAAGGTGTAGTTTGAGGCAGGAAAAGACGCAATTAGGTTTAATTCAGAAACATCACTTAATCCAATGCCTATTGCATACATGGTTATTCCATTGGCCTTGGCATGAGATACTTCATCTTGCAATCTATTTGCATTCATATTAGAGACACCATCAGTAAAAATTAAGGCAATGTTTCGTGCGTCCCATCTATCACCATTTGCGAATGAGAAATACCTCTGCCTCATGTCTCTTATTGCGTCAGCTGTATTAGTACTTCTAAAAATCCAAGGAATTTTGTCTATAGCATTAAAAATGTCTGTAGATGTGCTGTACGCATTTAAAAAGAAGTGATCATGTACGTTTGTGCTGTAGCTTAGAATTCCTACTCGAGCACTCCTAGAAACGATGTCCAATTTCTTCAAGAAGTTTTTACAAAAATGGAGAATTTTCTGAAAGTTGCTTTGGCCAACACTCGTCGAAGAGTCAAGGGTTATGACTAAATCAATCTTTTCAAAACCACAAGCTGATGGGTGAAAATAAAAGACTCTTTAAAATACTTCACACTAAAGGAAACAATTGAAGAGCAGATGAAACTGATTTTGGAGGCAAAATAGTTACGTTTCAACATTTCTTTAAAGAATATCATCTAATCGAATTCAGGGGGAGTTTATCTGCATTAACCTTTAGATGAAATTTCGTTATGCATTGTAATCATTGAAATAAATTTGGTAAATTCTATTACAGTGAACCCTCAGATATCCGGACGCCAGATATCCGGATGCTTCAGTATCCGGACGATTTTTCATAGGAACGAAATTTTTAAATGTAATTTTGACTTGTTTAACTGGTGATTCAGATATCCGGATGCTTCACATATCCGGACAAATTAACTGGGAACCAAAGTGTCCGGATAAATGAGGGTCCACTGTATATGGATTAAGTATTTATTGTATCTTTGAATATTTTTCATAGTATATCTTCTTTCCGTTGTTTATCAATATTTTATTCATAATGACTTTTTTGAAAAGGCTAAGACAGGAATTGGGAAATAAGAATACTAAGTATATCATAGATTCCCTGGTTGTGTGTGCTTTCTGTTCGTTTCTTTGTTTGTTGTTAAAGTCTACAAGATATATTTTTCACGTGCACTTTTATCGAGACGCTATCACTTGGTAGTGGAAAGCTGCAAATTTTAATCTATATTCGGCACTCAGGGCCACTGAGCAATGAATCTCAGATCATTTTTTATTCCAGCATCAACCGCTACACTGGACCTCGATTTGTATGGTCTGATCCGAAGGAACGGTCTCCATGTCCCACAGGTGGATTTGAACTCTCGACCAAACGCTCTACAACAGCGGGTTGTTTGTGGACTAAACATAAGTACCCAGTTTGCAATTATAATTCAGACGGCAGCCGACAACATGTTTGTGGTAAGAATAGAATGGCTTTAGAAAGTAAAGGGCTGCCCAAACCAGATACATACACCAAAAAAGATAATAGCTAGAGTAATGCAAGCAATGGAAAAGACAACTCATCATAATTGATTTTGAAGAAAGGTGTGACAGCATTCCCAGAGAAAGTTTGTGAAAGATCCTACGAAACTTGGCAATCCATCTTATCTACATGTAGTCGTCCTAATAAAAACATCATAAGTTTTAAAATGTTCTGTAGGTTATTCTTCAAGTTAAACACAACCTTGATTGTAAAATCTTTAGTAAGGCAAGGAGTTACATTTATATATCGAGATCAACCCCCAGTGAAGACAACGCAGGCATCCTGTGGACTCGTATCAGTAATCTAGAAGACTATCTGGAGACACAAATGCAAACTTATAAACATCCAGGTTACAAATAAGTGTCATCAAAGTTAGTTTGAACATTTAAAAAAAATGTTTATCCCCGAATTCATTTTTTTCTCTCTCCAAATACAATTAAATAAAGATATTAAACACACTATGCTTACATGTCTGAAAAGAACGGTGCTATCCGAGGATTAGATAAAAGAAGAGAATATTTCATCAAGCTGTAAAATATAAGAAAATCGAATAGTATCAGTAGACACACGATCAAGTTGCATTATTGCTGTGTATTATTTGTATTAATGTATGGTGCTGAATGTTTGAAACAGACGTAAAGTGATCATAACAAACAAGAAAATATTTCTTTATGCGTGTCACAGAAAAAATCTCAAGGATATTTTGTCTGGTCTACAAAAGTCACCAACAAAAATGTTTATGAAATAACAAAAAGAACATATGTAAGGACAATACTAAGGAAAAACAGATAACAATGAACTGACCATATCCTAAGAGAGCAATGATATTACAAGAGTTGCACTCAGATAGACTCTAGCAGAAAAAGGGAGGAAAGGCCGACAAAATACAAATGGAGGCAAACTATTGAAAAAAACTGAACTCAAGGACTCAAAGACATGAAACCTACCCATGGAGAGGTTGAAAAGATAACCTAAGAATAGAGAATAATAAAATTCCTTTGGCCTGGTTCCATGTGCCTCTGAATGCAACAAGGACTAGACACAGTACCCGCATCTTTATTCTTTACAATTCTATCGTGTCCTATCGTGCGTGTATCCTATCGTATCGTGTTTTCCGTTTATCAAGTTTTGTGTTTTCTATCGTGTTTTCCGTTAATCGTGTTTTGCTTTTATCGTGTAGATCGTTTATCAGGTTCTATCGTGTAGTGTGTTTTGCGTTTATCGTGTATATTCAGAAAACCTCGCTTTTTATCTTTACCATAGAGAGAAACTACAGAGCTATTCCGAGTTTCTTTTTCGTTTTGTTAACTAAAATAAGATTACTTTAACCGAAAAAGAGAAAAGAAAGTTTTATCCCATTGTTTTTCATAATAAAAAGAAATATTAAAGCGTGGAAGGAAAAGGATAAATAAATAACGTAATTCAAAAATAAACAAATTAATTAATTAATAACAAAATAGAGAAATTAATCAATGAATTAATTATATGATGGTCAAAGAGAGAGTAATTATAAAACTTTTAACAGTAACTCATTTTTCGGAAATGAAATAATAATCGATCGCCATCTCTTTTTTAAAAAAAATATAATTTATCGAATTGTATGATTTATTTTGCCATAATTAAATATTATTACTATGATTTTCTTAAATGAATTAGAGTTACTGGAGAAAGATTGTTGGTAAGCTTAGGTGTATGCGTACCCAAAAATCAAATAAATAAATAATAAGCTGGGTATTGATATGTATCTTTTTTTAATATTGCAATATTCATTTTCCCCCTTGTTTATCGTCTGATAATATTAGTAAAATGTTTTCGCCTCTGATCTGCATGTATGCACAATTATTGATAGTCTTGATGTTACAAAAATAATAAAGCAAAAGACATTGATCCAGATGACTTTAACACTGATTTTGGTTGTATACGTTCAATTTTTAAATTTATTTTTTATCAATATTTAATTATCTAAATTCCTAATATATGTCGAAATAAAAAAAAATCAAAATTATAAAATATAATGGATGAAAATATTCTTCCCAATTTGTCACACCATGACTATAAAATAGAAGGGTTTTTTTTTATTGATTTGTGTGGCATAAGATATTCTAAAAATAATATATACAGGGGAAAACATGATGTTTTTTACAGCTTACCTTTTTGGCGTGGAAATAAACTGAAAATATAATCCATCTGAGTGTCAAATCGAAAAGCTTTCCTTGCAAGAAAACTGACACTTATGTGTACCCCTTTAATTAGCACACTGCCTTCCTGTGCGGTCAACACCCCTCCCCCTTCTCCCCTAAATGACACCTCAGCCCGTGTGTGTTCACCGTGAACATACCTGTGCTGCTCTCGCACCTGGGGTTAATTAGTAACCTCTAATACTACCGGGTTCTAATGAAACGCATCTACTTATTTACGGGATTTTGTTCCTAACTTGTGTGAACATCACTTATATCAGATTTATTCAAAAAATTTTGAATAAAAATTTACTACATTTGTATAATTTATGGATTTAAAAAAGATTCATATTAATCAATTTAATGAAATGAAGTCCCTTAACTCAATCCGCTGATTTATTTTATTTGTACAATGTGTTCATTATGTTTTAATAAGCTTTATAAAAAATAATTCACTTATTGTACATGTACATGAACTTTCGGATCATCGGGTTTTCTGCGTAATACGAACAGAATTAATTCTAGGACACACTTTCATTGATTGTAACGACGAATGAACATTCTAAACTATGAGAATTAGCTCGCATTATTTTTGTTACGGTAGTTTACTATAAAAATGAAACAAAATAAGTCGTCTGATTCCGCCGTGACTATGCAAGACAAGTAAATATTTACACCGAATCAATTTATAGTATTGATAGATTTCATTCCATACGTATATAACTTTATTTAAGAAGTCAATACTATTTTTGATGAGTATGTGTTAGATCTTGTTTATCTAATTTTAAATTAGTTACAGATTTTCAACATCCCGCCCTTCGAATATGCCTCATATGAGATTATAGGGTAAGTCAAAAATAATTTTCAGGGTTTTTTAATTCATTTGCTGACTTAAACTATCTTTTGTTATTATTAAAAACGAACACATACAGTTTAATAGCGATGATTTATAATTATTTAGTCGCAAAAGTCGCATTTCATTAATATTTGTTTATTAATTTTTGTGTTTTGTATTGTAAGGAAAAACATATTTTAACATTCAATGTTCGTTAATTAATACGAAGTGTTAAGTGTCTGATATATAAATGTTTATTTTTACATAAGTGAGCGTTTAGCGTAAAGATACATGTACATGTGTAGTTGTTGCAGATTCATATTGAAATCTGTTGACGCAATTTACATGTATTAATGCAGCGCGCCATTAATTTAACAATTATTTTGATTTCTACTCAGGAAATTAATTTTCTTGAACTATATAGTTTTTGATAGATCTATCATTTGAAATTTATTAATTTTGTTAGAGCCGGTTTATTTGAACCTTTCTTTCGGCCGGTCTTCTACATTCTTCTTCTTCCTAAGATTTTAATATCTAATAGCGATTTTTGGATACACCGCAGATTTTAAGCTTTAAAGCTGCTTAACCCGAAACAGGCACATATTATCTTACACAATAAAAGTACGTCATTATATAGATAATATATAAAAATAGATTATAAGATTGTTTTAATAGTTTATTACAACAATCCTTACATGGAAAACGCAGATTAAAAACCTTATTGAAAAACAGTAGTTCCTGACGGAAGTTAAGATCTGTTGTGAAGTCAATTTTGAAAAAAAATAAGTTTATCGGATATATATCTAATAATGAAGATAATTCAAACCCGAGTATTTTTTTCTCTATTAGTAGAAGCATTAGTCATAATTCATCTTTTCAAAATTAAGAAATTAATTAAATTTAATCCATAGAAATTTTTATATCAATATGCATATTTAAAGAATAAAGGAAAATCAGATATTTTAAATGATTTTTTTAAAGGAGCTAAAATATTGTCCGTGTACAGGTAATATATGTACTTTGTTGTGAAAAAAATGCTCGGGTTTGTTCTTCATGAGATAAACATATAAGCGATAAATCTAATTTTTCGAAGGTGATTTCACGCGATATCAACAATGATCAACATAGGATTATTTTTTGTGTGACCTAACAAAAATTATTTTTTTTAACTTTTGAATTTTGATATTTTTTAAAGGAAAGAGACTTTGGGGATATAATTGACAAAAGTTGAAACAATTTATGGACAATTATTTTTTATGAAGAAAAACGAATATATATTTTTAGCGATTAGAATCGGACCAAGCGGCTTTAATTTATTGCGTAAATTTCTTCTATGAAATAACTAAGCACTTAGTAACTTAGTAGATAAATTAATTAGGTACAAACGTATTTTTATTCCAAAATAAATCTATAGAGATTCATAAATTTATAATTTATAGTTCCCATGAGAAATAGTTCTCATTTCTTGAGATGAGAGTCTCGACATTTACGCAAATAATCTTAAATTCACACCCTTGAATAGAAATCGATCTCCATTTCATAATAATCCATTTAATCATCGTCAAAATATATACTAAGTATATAAATAAACAAATTTTGTTAAATTACCACAGTGATCTAAATTTTTTATTATAATAATTAATTGTACTTAATGATTTAGATTTGAAGCTTTGCAAGTATTTAAATTAAAATATTACAGTAACTAAAACAAATAATCTTTTCGTCTTGTGAGAAAACGTTCCGCATTTTGAAACAATCCTATCAGGTTTTGCGTTTATCGAATCGTGAAGATCGTTTATCAGGTCTATCGTGTTTTGCGTGTATCGTGTTTTGCGTTTATCCTATCGTGCGTGTATCCTATCGTATTGTGCGCGTATCCTATCGTACCGTGCGTGTATCCTATCGTATCGTGTATCCTGTACAGAATAACGATGCACCTACTGTAGTTTGTAGGTAGGTTAAATTTATACAATTGCGAATGGTTGTCCAAAATTAATTAGTACAGCAGAAAAAACAATTTCAATTTCGGAATTCAAAGAGTTTTGAGATGAAAGCTTCTGTCAAATCAGAGATTTGCCACGATAAACGTGTTTCCATTTAAGCACGACAAACTACTTTCTCAAAATTGATGGAACAATGTGAAATGTCAAAATAAGAATTTATATTCCAAGGAATATAATTGTATGAGGAGATACATACTTTAAAGTAGTTTAATTTGAACACAAGTTCTAACAGTATTTTTGGTTATAAGGTATAAGAGATTATTAGAAAAGAAAAGAAGATTCTTTTATTTCAAAGCGATTTTAAAATCATATATGTGAATTTATCCTACATGTATATATTTATTATCTAAGCATGTTTCATTTAATTTTGATCATATATATGGTTCTTTAAGCTTACGTTTTGTTGAAAGTGACATCATTGTGTTGGTGATGGTTGTAGGTTTTGGTCTCGGTCTTGATAATACATCTTCATCAACTTTGTAAGATAGAAATGGATAATATTTGGAGCTCTACATTTCATCAGAATGTAAAATTAACATGAGAAAAAAATCAATACTTTAACCCTTTGACAATACAAAATGTATTGTCACAAGATAACTTTCTTTATACATATATATATTTTCCCAAGTATATGTAGAAGTAAATCTTTCTGATTAAAAGTTAGAAGTTAAAAG